ACAAGAATCAAGAAATAAAGCAAAGTATAAAAGGGAGAAAGAGATACAATTACTCTCTAATGCGTAGATTTATTTCCAAAATCGAGTTCAATTCATGACTATAGCTGCAAATCCAAAGTATGTATCTCCAAAATAAGCTAAAAAGCGACTCTAATGGATAAAGGAAAACCTAATATTAATGTACAATGAAGGCTTCATCCCTATAATACAACACCAAAACCTTGAATATCTAGGCTCAAATGACCGAAATAACCCTAGCTAAAAACAGATTTTTGGGCCTACGGTGCCATTCAAGGGGGCATACCGAAAAGGCTAAAATGGACATGCAGCTCCGCTCACGGGTGCGTGTTGAGATAACCCTAGCTAAAACTAGATTTTAGGTCCCAATTGCAAAATTGTCAAAATCCAAAATTTCTCTTGCTCGCGACCAAGCAACTTAATCATTTGCCTACGCTAGCAACTTCCAACTCCTTTTCTTCATCTTTTTTGCTTCCTACACCACTTGCACCTCCTTTCTTGTTCTCTTTCTCAAGTACACACACACACACCTGAACACTAGAAAGACTCGCAAAAACATGAATATACCAACAAAAAAGTAATAGGCATTGAAAAGAGAAAAAGGTAAAAAAAAATTGCATGAGACACGCTAGGATCGGACACGAAAACGATGGAATTTATGCTATATAACGAAAACAAACGTTCGAAATAAAGCTTAAGCATAAGTACCATGTGAAAACTTGAATAAATGTTCTAAAATATGAATGTCTGATGCGCACTGATTATTTAGTGCTTAAAAACTTATTTCTTCATTTATAGATAGGTCATTTTTTTTTATTATCTCAATCTTGAATCATTTTCTTTACTTATTTTCCATTTATCTCTTTTATGGAGCTAGAGTTAATGATTTACTTATTTTACTCTATGAAATGTTAATTTGACGCTTTTGACAAGTTGTGACTTGTTTGTGTTATGTCTCATGTTGCGGCATTGGCACAACATTGAACTAGAAGACATTGTACCTTGAAAAACATAATTGGAAGCTTCATTCAAAAAAATTGGTTGGACATTATCTTAACCTAATAGCACTCAAAAGTCTTTTAATTTTTGACTTGGTTGTATCTTATAAACTTTAATTTTGGTGCGGAAAATAAGGTATATTTAAGTAAATAAAAGACTTTTAAGTAAGCCTGAGGTGGCCTAGGCCCGAGCAAACCTGGTCAGGGTGATGGTTGATGATGGCGAGGAGTGGGCTGCCTGGAATTTCGATCGTAGTCACCTGGATTGAAGGTTGGCCTGTTGGGTATGGGTATGGGCAAAGAAGGGGGGGGGGGGGGGGGGGAATGGCCTCCATCCATCCCAGGCAGATTCAATAGAAGTCAAGGAGGGAGTTGCCATGCATCACGTCCTCTACTGGAATGAGAATATTGTCCACCTCATCCTCCTCAACCTAATCGTTCCCTACGTCCGTATGTGTGTTTCAGAAACATTGTGTAGCATCTCAGAATCACATTTTTATATAAACATATATTTTCATATATCAAGAAATATAATTTATATAATTGGTCTCACTATTCATAAAAACTACATTATAAAATAGTTACTAAATTTTTTCCACAAAATTCTTATACCAAACTTGTATACGTAACAAGTATTCAAATACAACAGATGACATGTTATCCTAACATCCCATGCAGACAATTATAACTCTTCACATTTTTCATTTTTTTCCCCTTATCATCTGGTTGTGTCGGACATGTAATTATACATATTTTCAAAACACAAAAAAATTAGAGTTAGACCTTGAGATCTAGTAAGAAATCTCTTTCATTGCTATTACACAAATACCTTTTATAAACTCTTAATTGTATAAATAATAAATATACAATATTTTATAGAACAAACATCTTTTTGTCGCATCAATATGATGAGATAACATTCAATTATCATAAACCAATGAAATAACCTATTTATCGCATCACATATAAATTTGTCGCATTTAAATAAATGAATTATAAAGTTGCCGCATCCAACAGATGAAATAATAGTAATTTGTCGCATCACACATGCTAATCCACATTTGTCGCACCTCAAAGATGCGATTAGTGATGGCCAAACCGGGCCGGGACCGCTGGAGGGCCGTGACCGGTAAGGACCGGTTATGGATTTAGGATGTTTCGCGGGATCGGTTATGGACCGTCCCGCCCCGATGTTTAAAAAATGTAGTTTTTACAAATGTAGCCGTTTTTTTTGCCCTTTTTGTATTTTTTTTTTGCTTTCTAAACAGTATATATAAGTTGGTTGAGGGATTTACATATATACCAAGTTCTCGATGCGCAAAAAACGCAAAAAAAATGTTCACAATTATCGGTTTTTCACTATATTTTATAAGACAATGTAATTTTAATTATAATAAAACGCATTTTTAAAGTGTATTTGAGTGACCCAATTACAAATTTTATAATGTATTAAAAATATATATCATTAAAAAGATAAAAATAAAAAAAGTTAATGACCGGAACCGACGGCCCATAACCGATTACAATAAAGCTTGACTGAGCTCAACTTTTTTGGTCGGGACCGGGACCTTTTAGTCAACACCTTTAGCATCAGCAGGGATTTGATTAGCTTTGAAATTTGGGCATTTTTTCATATAAAATGCAAGGACTTCACATTCCAAACATATTAAAAAATATGAAAAGAAAGACTAAAATAAATTTAAAAAAATGTAAAAACAATATAAATAACTTTAATAAATTAACATCTATTAAAAAACTATATATTGAAAACCAAAAGGAAAAAGAAGTCGCAAAGATGAAAAGATTTTTTCTTTATCTTTTTTGTTGTGATTATAAAAAGAACCGGTTAATCAACTAATTCTAATTTTAAAAAGATCAGAAAGCCAAATGGATCAAGCAAGATGAGGTTTGAAATATTTTGCCAACATGGTCAACGTTCATGCATCTTGCTTAAGTTGTCAAATCTTTTAATAAATTTCTTTCTAGAGATAAATTTGATCTTATAAATATAGAGAGAGTTAAAATCTTTTGTTAATAAAAAATATGGTGTTAATTTTATAAACTTATTATACCAATAATATTAATTTTTTTAGTAGAGGTTATTTCAAATGTTTGATTTAAAGATAAAGAACAAATATATAATTTTTAAATGTAAGTTACTTTTATGGTATTTAATGAGATGCTACAAACTTTTATGTGTAAATTACTTTTATGATATTTAATGACGTCCATAAATATTCATAAGAATGTGTTCATAAGAATGTGTGCATAATCATAAGGCGTTCATAAGATTTTGTTCATAACATATGGTGTTTATAAGTGTTCAATAAGATTTTATGAACATAATTGTATTATCCATATTAATGAACATAATCACATTATTCATAAGTGAACTCATATTTATATATAGAGATGTTCTTCATGTGTATATTAATGTTCATAATAATAAAGATTTTTTTATTAATGACAATAGATTAATGTTCATATGAATATTAATGTCATTAATGGGCATTTACAAACTTGATGAATTTTTTTTTCCCATAATACTCTTGTTCATGTATGTTCATCTTAGATGATAATGTACTATATTATTAATTATTATAAAATTATCATCATAATTTTTATCCATTAATTCATAAGATGAATGATTTTGATAGGTTTACAAAATTAATACCATAAATTAGGTTAACAAATTATATATATATATATATATATATATATATAATTAATTAGAGCCTAGCTATAAATCTTATACGTTGAAAGTTGTGTGATTCTCCAGGCTTCCAAGTGGAGTATTTATTTTTAATTAATCACGTCTCTTTGAATTAGTAAGAGTTAATTAGGATAATTATATTTTAATCACTATTTGAAGACTAATACGTAATTTACTCATGTTCCCGTGTTTCCTGTTTCCAAGGCAGGTTCACTCTGAATATAATATATTAGGGTTTTAAAACAAGTAATTAACAATGCAACGATGGTCTGGCTATATTTAGAAAATTAAGGAGTAGAACTAGAAGCGTATAAGGTATAGGGACCATTATCTGTATTCTTTAAACACAACACTTTGTAATTTAAATTGTGCCAGAAAAACCTAATACTAGCTTTATTTGAAATTTTCATATTTGTCGATCAACAATTATCACAGAAAAACCTAATATTACATAAGTTTTTTAGGTTTGTTTTATTATAAAATATTTAATTATTAACTAAAATAATTTGAATAAATTATGTTTCAAATTAAATGAATGAATTTTCGAATGAGAAAGGAAGTATTTGGTTTGAATTAGTAAGTAGTTATTAACGGGGGAATGAAAATAAAAAGTCTGTTAATTAAAGATAGTCTTGACATCTAAACAAAGTTAGTAGATATTAATCCCTTTTTATAAGACTGATGTAATTATCCTTGAGACAACTCGATATCCATATAAGAGATTAGGATTAAAATATCAATAAACCATGCAATGCTGGATGGTTAAAAAACAAAAGGCAAATATACGCTGACGTTCGCCTGCCTACAAATGCGTTTGTTTCAGTTTATATTTCTTTTAAAATCTGGAAACCGACACTTCATATGGATAAACCAAATTAAGTAGGACAAATAATCGGTTTGTTCGTTGACAGATCTTTAAAACTATATCTATTCGTCTCCTTTTTGGTAGTATTTTTGTCACCTTTTGTCTAACTTTCCTGTAAACACTTTTAAGTTATTCTATCAAGTGATCCAAATTAACTGCACTGTGTTTTATGTCGTTTTGTCTTAAAACATCCATTAATTTTATTTTGTTGGTTGATCAGGAAATGATATGAAACTGTAGAGAATATGGTTGCAGCATCGCTTCTACAGTCATGAATTCCAATAAAATATATACGCATAAAACGAACTTTGTTTATACAAATTAGTTATATCAAGTCGCATTATCCAGAAAAAAGACAGCCTTATGAAAGTATATATATAATTTCCAGCAAAAAACATCAAATATGATAATACCTAGTGGTATACAAGAACAACCACATGGTTCCATTCACAAGTCTGGTTTACAATAAATATTTACATAAAATCATCAAACTCAAAACTCTCCGGAATTTCGAACTTAAAATGCTTTCTGCAGTAACTTTCTATCTCATCCTCACTGCTGCTACCATTGATGAATATTGATGCTGAATCTAATGGTGTTGGGCTTGAGATGGGTGTTGGAAAAATAGAATCTACGTTGAAATTGTTGTTCTCAGTATTGGATAGCTGGAAAGTTGAGTTTTCTGATGCTTGTGATGTAAATTGGTCACTGTAATGTGGAAGGATGATAGAATCATCAGTCCAGCATGTAGGCACCAAATTTTCTTGACTAGTTTGGTCATTCAGGTTGACCATGTTTTCTGAAAAGCATTGGCTATTGTTCTTTTGCATGTGGTGTGCTTCATCCCAGAGTTGATTGCTTGGAAGACGTGATGATGGAGTGAAAGTCACACTTGCTATCTGCTGATTAGGGTTTTGACTCATAGGGGCTATGTGGTTATTAAGAAAAAACTCATTGTTTTGTTGAATCGATGAGGATGATGCCAAGAGAGTGGCAAGCCTTAAGACTTGTGGATTTACTAGGCTCTGGATGTTAAGAAGGTTTGAGAGATTGGATGAAGCTGAGTTGAGTATCGACGTCATGTCCAAGAGATCGTGGCGAGGACGATGTGTCACTGGATCAATTCCATTCCTGAGTAGTCTTTTCCGGATATGGGTATTCCAATAGTTTTTGATTTCATTGTCGGTTCTTCCGGGCAAACGTGCTGCAATTGCTGACCACCTATATATTGGATTAACCAAATTGAGATCATAATTAAAATTGATTAGACTTTAACGTAATTTCTAGAGCTAGCTAACAGTAGCATATATATATGATTCATATTTGTTATGTTCTTCAGATATGGAAACTTGTAAAAGACTAATTCAAATATTAATTCTAATTAAAAGAATTATGAAAGCACAAATTCTTTGACGTGTGAACTTACTTATTGCCAAGAACTTTATGTAGTTGGATGATGGTCTCCTCTTCTTCAAACGAGAATCTTCCTCTCTTGATATCAGGCCTCAAGTAGTTTGTCCAACGAAGTCGGCAACTTTTACCACATCGTTGAAGCCCTATTATAATATATAATCAAACATCTAATTATAAATTTGAAATTACTCAATAAAAAGGAAAAAAAAAAAAGGTTGCACATGCGCAGACACTCACCAGAGTTCTTGGGAAGGGTTCGCCAATTGCCAGGTCCATGTATTTGAATGTATTGCGTGAGTTTGAGGTCCTCTTCTTGTGTCCATGGCCCTTTCTTGAGTCCACTTTTGTCACAACATGGTGATCTTCCCATTTTCTTCTTGCTTTTCAATTGGGTCCTTGGTGATCTAAGAGAAAGATATATATGTGTTGTCGCTTTGTCTGAACAGGAAGATCGCTACTCCCATGTATATATAGATGACAGATAAATATGTTACAGACAAATACAAAGGTCATCAGGTCAAAAAGGATTTGGTTGTCAAAAGGATTTGGTGGTACCGTCATTTCTACAATATAATAAAGCATTAAAAACAAATCACCACATTAAGAGTTATGTTTTTTTTTAGATGAAAACATGTCACATATATGCAGACCAACAAAATATGTAGTAGGCTTCGAGTTTATTGAAGGAGCCAAATGCACTCTTATTATTTGATTTTTATTGTTATAAAATGTAAAAAAATGTGAGTTCAAATTTTGAAGTGTGTTGGTGTAATTGAGGATGTTTTTTTTAACTTACTCTATATGATTGTTATACTTAATGGAAATTTTTTTCTTTGGATACCCGTGTTTCAAAAAGAAAATCAAAACATTTTAGCATTATTAAATTTATTAATTATGTTCAAACATAAATATTTGATTTTTTATTGAGAATTATATTAATTTTCTACTTTAGTTTACAAAAATAAATTATGTCTCGTAAAATCGAACATATGTATGTATATATATATATATATATAGGCTTAATCATTTGAGAATACAATAAATTATGATAACGTTGAGAATTGGTTAATTGTATGCTATTTTACGTGTTTTTTCATCTATGCCTGAGATTTAATGTATTAGTTAATATATTTGTTTCACAATGTGTTTGTTTCATATGCATTTGTTTCACAGTGTGAAACTTTTAGTTCTATTTTTTGTTTTATAAACAATAAAAAATGTTCACATTGTGAAACGAATATATGTGAATCAAATGCATTGTAAAACAAATATATGTTAATCAACACATTAAATCGAAGTCACAGATAGAAAAAAAATCATGTGAAATAGTAAATGATGCACCAGTTCTCAAGATTATCATAATTTCACGAGTTCTCAAAAGAAGATATATATATATATATATATATATATATATATATAGATGGGGGCCGAATCAAATAAGAACTAATTAGTTTGTGGTAACCGTGAGGTTCAATATCAAACTCAAATCAATAGATAAATTAGAAAATTAATAATTTTGGTAATTTTGAATTAAAAGTTTAATGCAAGTACATTTTAGGTATTTTCTTTCATCTCTCATCTTTTCTCTCCTGTCTTCGGGCTTTCGTCCTCCGGTGATACCACAGGGTATCACAATGCATCTTATATGTGATTGAGTATCACACTGAGGTCGTTTGTGTGGTCAATCGGAGATGTAACATAGTGGTATCACAATGCATCTTATATGTGATTGAGTATCANGGAGATGTAACATAGTGGTATCACAATGCATCTTATATGTGATTGAGTATCACACTGAGGTCGTTTGTGTGGTCGATCGGAGATATAACATAGTGGTATTACAATGCATTTTATATGTGATTGAGTATCACACTGTATCTTTTGTTTAACATAGTCGATAATTTTAGGTATCACAGTGGTATCACCGGAGAACGATGGCCGGAGGACGGTGGACGGAGAGAGAAGAGAGGAGAGAAAATACATAAAATGTCATTGCATTAAAATTTTAATTCAAAATTACCAAAATTATAAATTTCTTAATTTATTTATTGATTTGTAGTTGAGATTGGATGTCACGGTTACCACAATTACTAGTCAGTTCTCCTTTAAATGGATATATATATATATATATATATATATGTATATGTATATGTATATGTATATATATGTGTGTGTGAATCATGAATCATATAGGATTTGACCTCCTCAATTGCTGATTACTAAAGTTGGTTCAGCAAAATGAAAATTGGAATAAATATTTCATACTGTTTGACCTTTTAAAAATGAAGATTAATGGTGGGTAAGGTTGTTGGATGCTCTACCAATTGCGACGAAATGTTTGTATGGTTTCTTGTTATTCTACCTTTCTAACATCTACACACTTTTTATCAAACCACGCACTTTTCTTCAAGGCTTACCTTTGTATATGTTTCATTAATTAGGAGGTTCTTTAATTTGGTGGATGATTTCTTTCCTTTATTAGATTATATCCTCCAATCATATATATAGTTAATTAATTCAGATAAACTTGAGTCATCAAACTATTTCTAGAATAATCTATTTAATTATAGTTTTAACAAATAATAATTAAGAAAGATGTTTTTATAATTGCTTGATTAATAACCAAAACACCTCAATTTAAAGCAAAATAGGAACATGAAGTAACTCCAAGTATAACAGTAAAAGCAAGACGTGTATAGGTGGATCAAGTTCCCATTGAAATAAGATCCACACAAAGAAAAACACCTGACGTTCGTTGATTATGAGCGACATCCCGAAAACGTCCGGGTCTAAATATGTAAAATTGCACCATATTAATGCCAAAGAAAACCATGCGATATTTTTTTTTTATCTTTTATTTTTTTAATCAATATTAATAATAAATTGCATTATACATATACTATACAGTGTACATTGATAATATATTTTATGTGACTCAATAATTATGATATACAACAAAAAATATTACTAGGTTTGTTTTAAGCCATGCAACAGAAGTCAACTGAGATTTGATAATAATAAACAATATATCAAATGAATTAATAATTGAGATTAAATTTATTTTGAAGGCGGAAAGATGCCAGACGTTACTTAACAAGTGGTCCAGCATCACTACGTTTTCTTCATCGCATACCTCATCAAAACCAGACACCTAAGCCTTTCTCAAACCCCTCACAAATTACTTCGTAAAGTTAAATATTGCTTTATATATATATATATATATATATATATATATATATATATGGGTACGTTCAAATAAAAACCACCCAATTTATATAAATCGTGAAAGCTACATTCAACCAATCATAATTTTTCATTTTGTTCATTTTTTTGTAATTATGAGATATTGATTAACCATTTTTATTGTGGATGATGTTAATCATAGATATTATCGTCTTCATTATTTTAATTTTAGAGAAATACATGAAACAGTTTTATTAAAATTTCATTAAATATTATATGAAACAATTTCATAACCATATATGAAACAAATTCATCAAAAAAAGTATTATATGAAACAATTTCATAACCATATATGAAACAAATTCATCAAAAAAAGTATTATATGAAACAATTTCACAAGATTAAACAATTTCATGTAAAAATTTCATAAGATTAAACAATGAAATGGACGTATGAAGGTGGTTTGTACGGTTTACACAAATAAGGGCAGTTTTCATTTGATCGCTCATATATATATATAGGGTTTATTTCAAATACAACCTATCGCATTTGTACAACCAATGCAACCCAATAAATTGAAATATTTATGGAAGTGATTAGAGTTCATTTATTATGATTTAAATATTTATGGAAGATGAATACGGTTCATTAATTATGATTAATACTTTATATTAGGAAATAATCAAAACCTTCATAAAATCACATATCAATCAAATGAAATGGACGGTTGAGATTAGGTTGTATTGGTTGCACAAATGACAAAGGTTGTATAATAACCAACCTCTATATATATATATATATATATATATATATATATATATAGACTTGGGATCACGTAAGACCAGTTTGTTTTCGTGAGACCAACTTTTTACACTTAAAACTTCACAGCAAAATGTTGTGAAGATAACCTTCACAGTATTTTGCTGTGAAGGTTCGACTTTTTTAAACCTTCACAGTGTTTTTGCTGTGAAGCTTCAAGTGTAAAAATGTGGTCTCACGGGTCTCACGAAAACAGTCTAGTCTCATGTGAACTCAACTCTATGTGTATATATATATATATATATATATATATATATATGAATTATAAGTATAACAGCATATGATCGATAGTTATCAAAATAAAATTTTATAATTAAAAATAAAATTATTGCGTCTTTCTACAATATGAAAAACAATTTTATGTAACGAGTCTCCATAAAAAATATGTAAATTATTTTAGATAATAAATTGAGCACAACTACTATGTACACATGCCTTATTATTGGCCATATATATGTAGCAGCCATCTGCATTTTATTTGCAAATTTTATTGTATTATTTTTTATATGTTATTCCTACATTTCACTAATTAATATGAAATCATGTATAGATATAATATTTCTATAATAAAAAAACTAACTTTCACGGATGGAAATCGCCGACGGCGCAATGCGTCATTAATTTCCGATGGAACAGTGATGGATATCGACCACGACAATAATCCTGACGAAAACAAAACTCGTGTGCTGATTTTACAATTTCCGCATAGATTTCTGCCGATAATTACTTCTACTAATTAATTAATTTTTTAAACTGTTGGTGATTCATCGTGTGTGTGTGTATGTACGTATATGTACGTATGTATGGGTCCTATATACATAAGTGGATTATCAAAAGCTAGATCAGAATCAACTATAAAGATATATAAATGACCAGTTAATTGATTTTGCATCAAGACCGGTCCAAAAAGTTTCAAAGTTTTGGTTTTAATGTCTCTCAAATTAATCAAATGCACTTCAATACTATGATTATTTCTTTTATGCTCTCTAGTCTTGAAAAATGTGGGTCTAGCTTGAGATATTAGTCTTTGTGAATGAAGTAGGCAATTGTCAAGGAGAATTTTCTCTGGGTTTTTAGTTTTCCATGTAAAAGACTGTCTTCATTTATCGATAGCCCACGGCTCTACTTTTTTATCCATATGGGACGGATTAAACTCCCCCATTTGATCCTGATATCCTTCGTCAGGCCTGCCTCCTTGAAATCGGCAATGTGGGATTCACTTAAGATGTTACAAGGCTCATTTTGAGCGATGAGGTTTGCCCCAATACCATTTGTAACACCCCAAGTCCAAAGAAGCAGGCTAGCCCGATAACTTGTAGTTCAACTCAAAATCATGGTGGTAACTCACAGCTTTAAATTTATAAGGAGTTCACAATTCTAATTTTTTTTTATCCATGTGAGACGGGTTGTTACTATGGTTATATGGGAGAGTATCTCAACTTTAAAGGTTAGTAGCATGCTATGTGGTTGAGTTTTGTATGATATTCTTCCACAAAATTGAAGTTCAATTGCATAAGCTTGAAGCACACTGATATTCTTCCACAAAGTCGAGAATACGTATAAAGTTAAGAGGCTAGAGAGAGTTTTCGCTCCTAAAAAATAACAATTGATAAAGAAAGAACAAATCCTGAAAATATATAAAAAGGCAAGATAAAAGTACCAAAATGCGCTTAAACTTTTGGCTACAAGACGCCTTTCATGGGCGTGAAAGCCAACAAAAAGTTCTAAGTTTTTCAGACAAAGGTGCACGGGCATGAGCTTCACACCCCTAAAGATGGACAAACCATTTTTCAGAGTCCAAAAGGGTTTTCTTCTCGACACTGAAGGCTATCATTACTAGAAAACTGGGTATTTCAAGTGGAAAAAATATGCCATAATTTTAATGGCAGACAACAAAAAAGTCAACTTTTGTTGACTTTCTCCCGAACTCCGTCGGAAACCCGTCGGTAAAATTATTCCGCCAATATTTCAAGCGGATTTTATAAATAATTATTTTACAATAGTTTTAGCTCTAATTACAATAATTTATCGGTGGATTTTCGGCGGATTTTTGATTAACTTCTTAAAATTAACGTCCGCCGGAAATCCGCCGGAAAGTAACTAAAAATTAAAATTTATTTTTTAACATTTCCGGCGGATTCCGGAGGGCCGCCGGTAATCCGCCAGTACAAATATTGAAGATTTAAAAAAAAAACTTAATACTTTTTGGCGGATTTTTGGTAGCCTTTTGATTTTTTTCCCATTTTTTAAACTTTTTTTCTTAATGGATCGTATTAGGCTTTAAAGAATCGTATTGGGTTTTAACGGTTCTATTAGGCTTTAGTAGATGTTAGTTGGGATCTAATGGATCGTATTGGGCTTTAAATGGATCATATTGGGCTTTAATCGATCGTATTGGGCTTTAATGAATTGTATTTGATTTAACGGTTTTATTAGGCTTTAGTGGATAATTGGGATTTAACGGTTCTATTGGATTTAATGGAATCGTATTGGACTTTAATGGATCGTATTGAGCTTTAATGGATCGTATTTGGGCTTTAATGGATGTTAGTTGGGCTATATATATATATATATATATATATATATATATATATATATATATATATAGGAGCGATCAAATGAAAACTGCCCTCATTTGTGTAAACCGTACAAACCACCCTCATACGTCTATTTCATTGTTTAATTTTATGAAAAAATTTCATGAAATTGTTTAATCTTGTGAAATTGTTTCATATAATACTTTTTTTTGATGAATTTGTTTCATATATAGTTATGAAATTGTTTCATATAATATTTATTGAAATTTTAATGAAACTGTTTCATGTATTTCTCTAAAATTAAAATAATGAATACGATAATATCTATGATTAACACCCTCCACAATAAAAATGGTTAATCAACCTCTCATAATTACAAAAAAATGAACAAAATGAAAAATTATGATTGGTTGAATGTGGTTTTCATGGTTTATACAAATTGGGTGGTTTTTATTTGAACACTCCCCTATATATGTGTGTGTATGGGGGGAAGTTCAAACGAGAACACTTCTATTTTACGAGAACACGAGAACACTCTTATCACATGTGATAATACGCGTGAGGGAACCCTGTGATGTGTGAACGACGTGCTCTACGACTTAGGTCGCGCCAAAGGTTGTCTGCGTCTATGATTTAGTATCACATGTGATGGTCTTGATGGATTATAGTATCATATCAACAATAATCTTATCACATGTGATAATACTTGTGATGGGGCTTACTAATGTAAGGGCGACTTGGCCTGCAACCAAGATCGCATTAGAAAATCGTCTGCGTCTCTGATTTAGTATCACATGTGTATCATATGTGATGGAATAATAATATCACACGTGATTGTCTATAGTAAAAGGGTGTTCTCGCATTCTCGTAAAATGAAGGTGTTCTTGTTTGAAACTTTCCATATATGGGAAAGGTTCAAATGAGAACCCCTATGATTTACGAGAACGTGAGAACAACTTATTAACCTCATATTGTGATAACAATTAAAATTAAAAGATTTTTGAAATTAAAATTGAAATTTAAAACGATTCAAAAAAAAAATTGAGATTCGAAGGGTAATAATGGAAATCAAAATCATACAATTTTAAACACAATCACATTATAATTCTAGAAATTAGAGTTATCCACTTAATTCAACAGTTATCGTTTTGATCATGGTATGATATGGGTGTGATAATATGTGTGAGGGGACCCTGTGATGTGCGAATGACTTGTTCTACGACTTAGGTCGTGCCAAAGGTTGTTTGCGTCTATGATTTAGTATCACATGTGATGATCTTGATGGATTATAGAAACATATCAACAATAACCTTATCACATGTGATAATACTTGTGAGGGAGCTTAGTGGTGTAAGGGCGATTTGGCCTGCAACCAAGATCGCACAAAAAATCGTCCGCATCTCTGATTTAGTATCACATGTGTATCATATGTGATGGAATAATAGTATCACATGTCATTGTCTATAGTAAAAAGGTGTTCTCGAGTTCTCGTAAAATGAAGGTGTTCTCTTTTGAAACTTTCCATATATATATATATATATATATATATATATATATATATAGAGAGAGAGAGAGAGTTTGTTTCAAATACAACCTGTTGCATTTGTACAACCAATGCAACCCAATAAATTGATATATTTATGAAAATGATGAGAGTTCATTTATTATGATTTGAATATTTATGGAAATGCTGAGAGTTCATTTATATATCAAAATCTCCTTGGAGTCCATTCCAAGTATACTAGACGCGTGGTTAAAATAGTCCAATAAAACAATGTTATATATATATATAAACGGCATATTAATCATCCCAATTGGTTAATGATAAAGCCAAAGTGTTAAGATACAATTACAAATAAATAGGTGTTTAAGATCGAACTTACTCACATATATGAAACTAGCGTTGTTCTAACAATATTAGACGATGTTGGTTTGGAACTAAAATTTATCATTTTTATATATGTATGTCGAAATGTAAAACAAAACAAGAGATTTAACAATGTATTAACTTCTTACGACAAGGAATCACAACAAAAGATAAAAGAAGGTTAGCATCACTTACTCATCTTTTTTATTCCAAACAACAATAGCTACCGTAGCAAAAAGAACACGAAAATAGAAGTGTCTTGTTATTACAAACAAATATGCGTTACATTAAGTTTTTAAGAAAACAAATGCTTAAAAGGCATATTAAATTGCTTATTGTTAACCTTACTGAATAAGTCACTTTATATATCATAAAGTTACTATCAAACAATGATGTATAACTATATAACCTGATAAGTTTTGAGTCTCATTGAATTACTGACAAACCGCTTTTATTTGGACATGAGGTGATGTACCAATTATACAATTTACATACAAATTTAAAAAATAAAACAGAATTTGCATATTATATTGTTTTTTTCACAAATTCAAGTAATAGTTATACAAATCAACATGGGCATCAAATATTTCTCGTTAGAATTTGTATACTGATTCTTTTATCACAAGGAAAGGAAATATGAGGCTCAATTTACACTGGACAAAGCTTGTAAAGGGTTTTATTAGTACTTTGTTGCATACTGATTTTCAGCTAAGCAGTTTTTAACTGCTTCGTTCGCCTTTTGAGGTTCGCTTCTTTCTTCTTGTTTCTTTTTCTCCCTGAAAACAACATTAAAAACGAATCTGTCATTCATGAAATTAAGGTGTTAAAAAACACGACAGTTTCCATGTTTCAGAAAGTGAATTACCTCTCGACATATTCCTTCAGAAGTTCTTTTGCTTGAACAAGCTTTGAGAGCAGGTTACGATAAACGTCAAGATCCCTATCCACGCTTCTTTTATCGATGTTCAGTGCGCCACAAAGCTGGATTAATGCCATAACCGCATTTAGAAAAAAACATGTCTTCCATCATTTTGTGAGGATAATTTTCGTGAACAAAAATATCTTTTTATAACTGTGGGCGTCCAGGCGAACCTTAACTAATCCCATGGAGCCCAAAACATAACCATAGCCAGAAAAATCTCCGGGGACCCTGAGTAGACTCTAACTGGCGACCTATGGTCATTTACATAAGAAAGTTAAATACAAATATCTTGAGGCCTCGTATCTCTCTTGGATCCCACACAATTAGAATAGACGCACCTAGACTGAGGTTCTAGTGACTCGGCACCTTGTCTTGGTAACTAATAAGGTTTATGCAATCGTAAGGGCATTAGGTACAACTATAACCCCGTGATGTTGAAGCTTTAAGTCCCATTCATCGAGTTAAACAAGCCATCCTCACCCATATTCATAATTTGTGTCATAGGGCTCAAGAACTCCTTCACCAGAATCTAAGCTCCCTTCCCCTGATTTGTGATAGGAGCTCGTTTCTTGATTATCATCATTTCGTTTCTCAAAGCACGACTCTTATACCTAACTCACAGATCCAGATTATCACTAGATAACAGAACAGGAAACAAGTTTGTATTGCAAGTTTAGTTTATGAAAAGCTTTCACTCGGATTTCATAGGAGAGTCCATATTCCCTTGAGAAGGTTCTAGGACCTTCTATACAAACTTAAGACTAAGAACGAGCATCAAGAGGATTCTAGAATATGACAAGTTATAACTGTCCTTGAACACTTCAAAGAGGAATAGACTTTCCTAGAGCCATCTTCTGTTAGATGCTTTGCCCTGTAGCCATCTTTTATAAGATGCTTAAGCCAAACTATTAGAACAACAATTATACTCAATCTTATCATAACAACAATAAATGTGAAAGAAATAGAAGGTGAGACAATTTTGGAGGCTAAAGGAAATCTTCCAATAAAGTCCACAAGCGTTACTTTCAAATATGAAAGATCACTGGCTAGTGAATTTTACATTTCAAGAATCTTAGTTTGACTTTTACAAGCCAATATCAGGTCAAATACTGAAAGAAAGTAGCAATAAACCTCAAATATGTTTCTCTATGCTGCTAAGAAGATCTGAATCTCAGTGCCACCTGGATGGAGGTTGGCTGATGATGTCAAAGTTAGAATAAAGACTACGATATTTAGTCCCATTCGTTTTGGGCATTAATGGGTCTTATTTACATGCCGTTAGAAGAAATGAGGATGTATCATCAGGGCATTTGGTGTAATTGGGTTCAAAAAGAGAATGAAAGGGGTTGTTAGTTAAGCTATAATACGAGTTAAGCGGGGCGGAGTGCACAATTGTATAAGCTAGCTAGAACCCCGGATTGCCAAATGTTGCCATATGGCCCGGTCAAGGGGGACTAGGGGCTACGCCCCTTGTGAGGTTAAGGGGCAGAGCCCTTGTGCTGGTGCCACCGATGCAGATCAGTGTTTACCTACTGATGCATATCAGCATTTACCCACTGATGTTGATAAGTGGGTGCACCCACTGATGCTATGTTCCTAATTGCTAGGCCAAGAACCCCTGATTTTTCATCTTCTTGCTAGAGCCCATTACAAAATTTAATTGTATCTTCTTATGACAAGCGTTGGCCACTCCAACCACATCAACCCATTTTCAATTATAATTTCCAAACATAGTCTAATTTTATACTTAAAGAGTAATAAAACAATATAGTAAAATAATTTAATAAGACGATACAATAAATTCGTATAATTAAATAAAGTAACAAAATAATTTAGTAATATAACAAACAAATATTCAAAATATAAGTTTGTTTTGTAACTTAATGTAATTTTGCTTTACTGGCCTATTGTATTCGACTATTGGATATACAGATGAAAACAGTAGTATAAATTTGGTGAAAGAATTCCATGTTTTTTGGATAATTGAATCTTATTCTTGAATCATATATTATCATACTTCTACTTCTCACTAATGAATTCCAGGGGTTTATGATGTTTTAATATAAAAAGAAAGCTGAAGGTATTTGATTGAACTACTTTTCTAACGTTCAAGTGATAATGTATAGCACTTTATTCTTCAAAAAAATATTGATGATGTATTGAACAATTATATTGTTACTTCCTATATGTTTGACACGTAGATTGACGTAAAAATTCAATCTATTGTTCATGGATTTTATAGAAGAAAACATGCAAATTCTTCTCGAGATCCTAAAAAAGACAACAAAGAATGAGAGTACCCCTATATCTAATTCCGATAATTGAGAACCCCTACAAAGAAGTTCAAAAGGAAAACAATGAGCTTGTTCGGACCCCTGGGTTCTAAAACCCGTGTTCCACCCCCGAATTTACTGCAGGTACCTCTTACAACTTCCCAATAACCGCTGATAACTTCTAGAAACTGCTTACCTTTAAAAGATATTCTCATTCTTGTTTATGCATACAAAATTCAAGAACTTCTGTGTTTTTCGTCAAAATATTACTTAAGGAAAGTGATTTCCTACACGAATTAGATTCTTGATCCAAGTCTGATCTGTTTTTAATTGCTTATGGGACCCATATGCCAGTTCTCTAATAGTTACTTGGGAGGATATATGAAGATTGAGAAAATTGGAATCCTATTTGTATTCCATTGTTAGTTTATAGCATGAGCATCATTTTGTATATGGGACTTCAATGCATCTTGTGAAAATGAGTTTTGTTCCCCAACATATATCTGCTTCCGTAAGTATTATCTCTAGTACCACGCACACACACGTATATGCCGCTCGCAAGTAGGGTCTGAACGCACATATATAATACTAGTGTAGTAGCGTATGTATATGTAAACAAAGAAAGAGACTTGTATATGTAACTATGTGTATATATATAAGCAATCCTGTTTATTCCCATCTAGAGAGGAAAAGAGGTACTGGATGCACTCCAGAACTATTGGTTCCAAAACCTTGAAAAAGTAATGGAGTACCATTTCGGCCATAACCACCCAAGTGTAGTGAAACCACTTCAACCAAAAAAGCAGCTAAACATCAACAGCAATGTGAGATAGTGAAGCTTCCCCTCCCACTAACCCAAAGAACAAAGATAAGATGGTTTTTCAAATGCCTCCAAACAGTGCTAAGGGGCAGTAAAGCCTAGGTGATTGTAGGTCATATTTGGTGCCTGTGTATCTTTGAGATGATGGGTTCTGTTGCATATGCCAAAGGGATCGCTCACATAAGCATTAACACATACTATAGAAGCAATTTTCTGTGGAGAAAAGGAAGATGACTAGTGATAGAATGTCTGTTACCTTCTCCAAAATGGTGGGTTCTGTTGCATTTGCCAACTCTAGAAGGCGAAACAAACCAACAGCAAAAAAACGACTATAGCTGAAACTTCCGTTACCCCCAGCTCTATCTGCAATATCCTTCAGTATGTCCTCAATCTCTCCTGCTTTAGATGAAAAGTCGACCAATGAACTAGAGTTTTGAGCACGGGCCCACATTTCCAATTTCTCTGCATCACCCCTGCAGTTTATGGCAAATATCGTTCAGTTGAAATGGTAGAAAATCATTCAATGTTTATGGCAAATATAGTTCAGTCTAAGTGCAGATAGGAAGAATAGAAGATAAGAACAGCCAAAACTTAGTGGGATTCTCTGACTGGCCTGTACTGTTGTGGATCCTCGTTTAGTGCATTAATATATGCTTGGAAGATGGCTTCTCGATCATCATCACTTGGGTATCCTTCCATAAGTTGATCATAAACAGTAACAAACCCCAAAGCAAATACTGCATCATAACGATAGGTCTTTTTGTATCTCATTAGATGTTGTTGTACAATTAGTTCTTGCAGCACCGTGTTGTAGATACTTGGTATCGGCCGTTTGTAAGAATTGAGAAATTTCAATTTTGTCTCAGACACTGGTGGTGGAGCTGAAGGCAAAATCCAGTGTTAATACATTTTATAGACCCATCTACAATATATAGCTATATTCTTGCATAAACTATCTTATGATCTAAAGAGCACACTTTCACAAATCACAGAAACTTTATACTCATCATTTCCATTGAAAGTATCCCACGACTATTATGACATCAAGCCTACAGCTTTTCAGTTCCAAATTGTAAAGCTTTTATGAACTTGAGAGAAATTGTTGGTATAAAGCATGAAGTGGTTATCAATCTTTTCTACAAATTTCAGAAAGGTGCATCACTTTTCAAGTTAAAATTGCTCCAATAAACCTCAAAAAGATTCAATGTTTTGTAACAATGCATCAGTATCCCATAAACCAAGCATCCATTAAACTAAAATACCAAGAAAATTAACACAATTAGTAAAAAAAAAGGTTATCTAGCAACATGTTAGAGGCTATGCTGTTCTCTTGGATATAAATATCCTACATTGATAATGCATGAATAATTAGATAAAACATAAACATGAGAACTTGCCTGATCCGGAAGACATGCAATGAACAACAAAGCGAGAACTTGAATTCGAAGCTCGAAAGCTTATTGAATGAAATGAGAAGCTTGAACGAACCCTAAACGCATCGGAATTGGAAAGAAGGCAGCGAGCCGAAGACGAGAGACAGAGTTTTCTATCGGATGGTGATTGAGCGACTCCGCAGAAAGAAAGTGAAGTAACAGTGGCCATTATAAAGACAAAATGCAGGATCGAAATCGATATTTGAAAGATACCCAGATGAATTTAGTTCATAAATTGAAAAGGGGAACCATTTTAGATTAGAGTGGCAGATAGTTGAAGAGAAAAATCAAATTGGGGGAAAGGGAGAAGAGGGGCTCAAGTGCGGTCGAAAATTTGAGGCTTATCTGTTATCCACTCCAAGATGAGTTGTTAGTTATCTGACGTGTAGCCAATAAAGATTACACACGTTGGACTGGTATGATGCTGACCTGACAAGACCACTTTCTTGTTCTTCCAAGAATCTTGATTTTGGACTCCAAGAAAGAAGAAGCAACCCGCTCTTGAGGAATCAAACTCCACAACCATCCAAACAAAGGTTATGTGTCGTTGGTTCTTACGATTATTAAAGATCCCCCGAGCAGGGACGGACCCAGAATTTGTTTTATACGGTGGCACTATTTGATCATAAGAAAAAAAAATATATGAATTTTTTTTTCAAACGGTGGCACCGTTTGATTAAGAAAATGACACTAATATGATTCGGACTTGGGTGTGGAGTGGAATAAAAGCCTCGTCGAAAAGCATCTTTCAACCGTAGCAGTTGCAACAGGCAAAACCAGTGTTAGTTTCAATAACTGATAGACTAAAGGATGAGAAAGATGCTTTCTTGTTGCCACAAATGCATGTATCCCATGATTCCCACATTGGTCTCTGAACAAGTAATCATTAATCAGTAATCAGTAATGAGTAATATAAATAAGTAAATCTAATCAACTTATCAACATATGAAACCTAAACATCATAAACAGTAAACAAAAAAGAATGATCAATTTGTATAACCTAAACAATTAATCAACTAATCAAGTAAACAGTAAACAAAAAAGAATGATCAATTTGTATAACCTAAACAATTAATCAAGTAACATTTGTATAACCTAAACAATTAATCAAGTAAATAGTAAATAATCAACTAAACAGTAAACAKAAAAGAATGATCAATTTGTATAACCTAAACCTAAATCAAATAAGGTCATAGATTTGGGGCTTTACCAGTTTACCGCTTTAGTTAATGCCTTAATGGACCATTAGATTTAGGGCTTTAGTAGTTTAGTTAATGGACCATTAGATTTGGGGTTTTGGTTAATGGACCATTAGATTTAGAGCTTTAGTTAATGGACCATTAGATTTTATTTGGGCTTATTTTTGCATTTTATTTGGGCTTTAGTTGCACTCTTAGAATTTGGGGAAAAATACGGTAGCACMTTCCGAAACGATACGGTAGCACTGTTTTATTTGGGCTTTAGTTGCACTCTTARAATTTGGGAAAAAATACGGTAGCACCTTCCGAAACGATACGGTAGCACTGTTAACAAACCTAAAAATTTTACCCTTCGGAGACGAAATAATACGGTGGCACGTGCCACCCATGGCGACACACTAGGTCCGCCCATGCCCCCGAGTCAAGATTCATGAAAACTGGTTTAAGAATGACTACTAGAAAAAAGTTAACCTTCAACATCTACCTAATGGAAATTAATTAGTTTTCGTTTGTAACGACAACCAGTGATGGAAATTTTACTCGTGGGATGGGTCTCCGTGGGTATTCGAACCTAACAGGACAGGGATTCTCCACTTTTGATGGGTAATGAGACAGAGACGGGGTTTATTTTCATACCCGAAACAGGGTCGAAACAAGGTCTAGATGGCATTATCTGTCCCTAATTCGTCTCCAATTAATTGTTTTTGTTAAACATATGTATATGATGTGTACAAGAGCAACTCCAACCTTCACAACAAAAAAACACCAAAAACACCAAATATGGTGGATCCATAAACATAAAAAAAAAAACTCAACTCCAACCTTTTGGCGTCTATCTCTTCCACAGCAAATTTGCCGTTCATTTCCTTCCTCCGGCAAAACTTTGGTGTATTTGACATGCGATTGGATCCAAATGAACGGCAAAACTAGGGTTTTGCTGTTCGATTAGTTTTGCCGTTCGATTGGAGTTGCTCTAAGTAAATAAATATGGATATATTTATATAACATTCAGTACTAAATGACAAATATATTTGATTTTTAATATTGATAATTAATATGGTGACGGTTTATTATAACTTTAATTTTAGATTACGTTGTTTTTATTGTTTTTTTATTAAAAGGGTACCGGACGGGTTTTCTGAATCCGACGGGGATTCCATTCCCCCAAACCCGACGGAGATTAATCGACGGGGTTAGGAATGGAGGATTAAACAAGAGTCAGGATCGGAAAAGAAGATGCATTATCCATTTAATACCCATCCAGTTTCCATCTCTATCACCAACGGTCAAGGCATATGAAGAGGTTAGAGGTATGTAGGTAGTTGGTTGTTCACACTTTATGATCTTCCCTCTTCCTACCATAAAAATTTGAATTATTAAAACACGGTAATCACAATCTCCACCCAATATACCATACAATATATTACTGGATATATTCTTGAATTTACATTGTGTTTTTGTTTTATTAATCTGGATATCTAACTCGTTATAAAATCCGACTAATTCCAGAACAACTATCTGCTTTACTGATAATCCAGAGTCATTGTATTTGAACCTTTGTGGCCACAAGAGAATTTTTATTTCTTCTTGGATTTGAACCTGGGACCTCCCGGTATTTTTGATCTTTGGAGTCAAGCTCAAACCAACCAAGCACCACTCTTGTGGTTTTATACTGTGCTTTTATAAGTAATTGAAAATGATTTAAGTTTAGAGTAAATTATAAATGTGGTCCTTGTGATTTGTTTAAAATAACATTTTTCATTTTTATGGTTTCAAAATTACAAAATAGCATGATCGTTGTTTGTAAAAAAAAATCTAGATTTGATCCTTGGTTCTAATAGTCATTAAAAAAAGTGTTAAATAAGTGGTATTTTCGTGAACCAAAATTGTAGTTTACTCTTTAAGTTTATACTATATGTTGCCGATCAAGTCTTGATATGTCAATCTAGAATTTATGTAAGTGTCTTTTTGTTAACCGTGAGTGTCCAAATTATTTTGTACACACTTAATTAATTCCGGGGGTCTTAAAGAATAGTAAGAAAAAATCCCTGATGGCCTTATAAAAAAATAAATATTTAAAAACTCAAACCTTATTATCTGTTGAATTAATCCTAAAAAAATATTTTTGTACATGTTGCCACCTCGCTGTACTTGTCTTTCATATATAAAAACATAAAAATAAAGAAGATCAAAGAGAGTTGCACAAGTGCATCTACATATTGATGGGGTTGAATATAGAGTATCCAAAAAAGAATTAGTTGTTGTTAGGTTAATTTTTTATTAAGTCATAAATTGTCTGTATAGATTAAACATAATTTTGTTTCGAAAATGTTTTTTCATAGATAAAAGAAGCTTATTTTCTAATTAGGATGAGTAAGGGGCTGTTCAAAAGTGACTTTCTAGAAAAAAAATTCCTCTATTTTTTAAATTTTATATCATTAACTTACCTATATAATTGATCAAATAACTCAGGGGTTGTTTGGTAGGCTCTTAATGGTTACATTAAGAGCCAATCGCTGAATCGGTCAGAGGTTGCAAGTGTTTTTGGCAAAAAAAAACCCACCTCTTAATGGTTACAAACACCTCTTAACCATTTTGACCCTTATACTCCACTCAACCATTCAGGGGCTGTTTTTTTTCCATCTTTGCCCCCATCTCACTCACGCAGACCSTGCTCGCTTCCATTCCTCTTCCCCTTCCATTCCCGATCGAAGCACATATCCTCTTTAATCGGAGCGCCGGTCGTCCATCGTCAGTTCCCGATCATCCTTCCATCGTCGCACCCCGATCGCCTCGTCTCCGGTCGCCTCTTCGTCGCCGCCTCGTCGCTGCTTCGTCGCCGCCTCGTCGCCGCTTCGTCGCCGTCGCCTCGTCGCCTTCCGCAGCCTCACGTCGCCGCCTCGTCGCCTTCCGCAGCCTCACGTCGCCGCCTCGTCGCCTTCCGCAGCCTCACGTCGCCGCCTCGTCGCCTTCCGCAGCCTCACGTCGCCGCCTCGTCGCCTTCCGCAGCCTTCGTCGCCGTCGCATTTGGTTTAGGGTAGCATTTTTCTGTCTAGGGTTTGGTTTAGGGTAGCATTTTTCTGTCTAGGGTTTGGTTTAGGGTAGCATTTTTCTTTGAAAATTGATGGTGTTTATTGCTAACTTCATGTTTGTAACAATGTTAATGATGATTGGATTACCTATATTTTGCAATTTCTTGAGGATTTGTGATATTGATATGAAGAACATGAAGAACATCATCTTTTTTTTCTAAAARAATGTTTAGAATTGATTGTATTTCTTGAGGGTTAAAATGGTAATTTTGCTGTCATTCAGAAAACAATTACCAAACAAMTTTGTTTCATTCAGCACTTAACCATTCTGACCCTCTTAGCCATTCTAACCTCTTAGCTATTCTGAACTAAATCATTCAGCAACTGCCAAACAGCCCCCTAGTCGTTAGGCTTATTAAATTACCAACAAACAATTCAGACCTCTTTTTAACAAAAAATTAAAAATTAAAATTAGGCCTCTTTCTTCTAATCCCCTCGCCCCCTCGTGGCTGACGAGCACCGAGCCCCAGGCATGACGCCGGTCAACGGGGTTGCTCCACCGCCGCTGAACGGCTGAACCCCAGACTAAGTATGAAGTATCTTACTCTCTTGTTTAATGCTTATTGATATATTTGATTTCTTCTGCTTATTGATTTGCTTGATTGCTTCTGATTATTGATTTGCTTCTAGTTGCTAATAAGAAACAGTAATCCCAATTTCGATTTAAATGATCTACAACCAGTTTATCTTCCCATCTTGAAAATAGCTAGATGTAATTCCTTTAATAATACGCAGTTGAGAATCATTATAAAAAACCCCAACTTAACTTGTTTGTAGGGGTTTAAAAAAGTGTAATGGCCTATGAGGTTGGTTCTAAAATAGATAAAGAAGGTAAAAGAGCTGGAGATGATGAGGAAGACACTGATAATCTTCCTTCCATAACCTCTTATATACAAGCCAATAAACCTGCCCCTACCTCTGTAACTCTGTTCCTAACAAGAAAAAATTAGAGTTTAAAGAGACTCAAGAAGAAGAAGTTGTTCTTGAAAGAGAAGCTGAGTGATCCTTAACTTATCATCAGAGAGAGAGAGAGAGCACAACTGAAGAACATTATGGTGGAAGCAGCCTACCCTCAACTGCTAAGATAGTGACTTCAGAATGCAATTGCTTTTGAGATGTTTGAACAACAGCTAACTGTAATCTGTAACTATTTAATAGGTGAATAACCATCCTTCCTACCTTCTAAAATTATATCGACAAGTGATTCTTAACAACCATACAATTTTACGATAAACGTCCTTCTGTAACATAGTTTTGTATGTCCTCTTTACAATTGTATTGGTTTTTGTTATTCTTGGAAGTTTTGGGAATCTTATAGCTTCCACATTAGAGTTCATGTTCTAAAATCTTAATGTTCACTCGAGTGGGTTTGTATACTTGTAGTTGACTAACTAGTTTCACTTCTTAATGCTATGGATAAGTATTTAATAAAGCAACAACAATTAGGAAACTATTAATGATAGTTATAAACAAAGTCTTATGAAAATCAACTTACACGATTTTCTTGCAAATCTTGCATCATGGATTAGGCTTTCTTTTATATATTTATTTTAATTTGTATTTACATAATAACATATAAGAGGTCCGCCCAAAATTTAAATCTTAGCTCCACTCCTACATATAAGTATAATTATAACAGACATGACCTGTTAGCCGATCTACCTACTAATTAAACATCTACCTACATATTGCTTGGAAGTTCAGAAACCTACATTTTTCTATATGATAGTTAGTCCATTTCATCCTCCCATGATAATATTAAGAGTATGGCTCAATTTATAAAAGTCTTGTCATTTGTTTTTTAAGTAAATAATTACTTTAATTATTGGAATCTAGAAAGTGTACATCCAAAGCAATCAATCTGCAACCACTTGCATCTTGTGTGTTGGTTTAATTAACAACAGGTCTGCAGTTCTCCTCCTTTGTATCAGAGTTCAATTTTTCTTATATCTAAACAACAATGTTATAGTGTGCAGTGATCAGTTTCTTTCCCTTGTTTTTAGTGGGATTGGAGAAGGAAAAAGAAATCCCATTTGGGAATCACTAGATAGGAGAGATGGAAAGCCAAGAAAGAGAGCATATCCCTCTTCTCACCCCTTACAAGATGGGTAATTTCCAACTTTGCCACAGGTATCAACAGACCCTTTACAATCCTCATTCTCTTGTGTTTTCCTTTATTGAAACAACAAAGAAACTCATATGTAACCACTTGGGTTGTGGCGCAGTGATTCAGACTCAGGGGGATATAGTGGAAACCTAATCTTCCCTGGGTTCAAATCCAAGCGCTGCTAAAGCCCTTGTGGCTGTGGAGGTTCACCTGTGTTGACTCCAGGCCATTCATGGTTGCTTGGGGATTAGTCGGTGCACATAAACTGGCCCAGTTACCCACAGTTACCCCCAAAAGAACTCTTATTTATTTTTTTAAAAGAGATCATTCGTATTCATATCTTAATGGTTGTAAAGATTTGATCCAATTAGATCTCTTTTGTTTGAGTTAATGTTGTACAGGATTGTTTTGACACCGATGTCAAGGTTTAGATCTTACAACAGTCTTCCTCAATCACATGCTATCTTATATTACTCTCAAAGAGCCACCGATGGAGGCTTTCTCATTGCTGAAGCTACCGCTATATCACCTGCTGCTCAAGGGTACAAATTCTGGAAGAAAAAAAACATTTGAAAATAACGCTTTAAAACATGCAATTCAGTTGTACTAAATAATGATTATCGTTAGTTTCAACCTCTTGAGATCGTTTAGCCATTTTTGTTTGGTTTAAGGTTTAGGGATGTTCCTGGCATATGGTCAAAGGAACATATTGATGCATGGAGACCCATTGTGGATGCTGTTCATGCCAAAGGCGGCATATTCTTTTGTCAACTTTGGCATCCTGGGAGGGCTTCAGATCAAAGTAAGTTTTAGATCCTCAGATTTAGGAGTACATACATTTTTAGCAGTAGTACTTTTCTTATTGTGATTGTTAGTTAGTGGACTAACTTACGGTGATTGCTCAGGAACGTATGGCAGTGAGAAGAGTTAGTTAGACTTAAGTTTCTTTTTCTATAATCTAGCGCTGTAGATCTATTTTCCGATACAGAAAACTTATGTGTTTCTCTCTGTTCTCAGTTTTGAGAGTTGTGTTAGTAAGTTTTCTTTGTTGTTATTTCATGGTCTTTAATTGGGAGTTGAGTGTGATTTTGAAAGCAGGTTTTGAGCCAAACACAGGAAGCTCTCCAGTCTCTTCGACAGATAGAGCATGTAGTTTTGTGGAAAGCGACGGTGAAGTTTTGTTTGAATTTCCAACCCCTCAAAGACTAAAAGCTGAAGAAATTATTGTAATTGTTGACGATTTCAGAGTTGCAGCAAGGAACGCTATGGAAGCTGGCAAGTGTCTTAGGAGTTGTACCCACTACAACAAAATCGTCTTTATAGACATCAAGTAACTGAGCAAGTATAAATATTCTAATAGACTGCAGACTTAAATTTTTTAAGATTAAACAATTGAAAATCCTATGTAAATGTGTTACAATAAAATGTTTTGGCATCCTTACGAGGTTTTTTCTGGACACCTTTTGAAATTAAATGTCCTATTAACTCTTTTATATGACATTTTGAGAAGTGTCCTATGTATACATACACTTGTTTTTATGATGCTTATTCAAATAATGTAATATGAAAAGACTAATAGGACGCTTTATTTAAAAGTGTTCTAAAAAAATTGTTAGACGTCCAAAAGTGTCGTATCAACTTATTGTAACACCTTTATATACGATCCATAATTATTTGTTCCTATAAACTTAAGTCCTATAAGCAGTTTATTAAAACGTGTAGGCATATTTGGCGTCCTATAAAGTTGATTTAGTTGTAGTAACCAAATCTTCTTTGTTTTCTTTTTTCTTAAAGTATATTCTAATATAAGTGAAATGCAGGCTTTGATGGTGTCGAAATCCATGGGGCAAATGGTTATCTAATTGACCAGTTTTTAAAAGATCAAGTCAATGATCGAACCGACGAGTATGGAGGTTCGTTAGAGAAGCGTTGCAGATTCGCCCTTGAAGTAGTGGAAATCGTGGCAAACGAGATTGGAGGCGAGAGAGTTGGCATTAGACTCTCACCATTTTCAAATCACATGGATTCAGTAGATTCAAACCCAGAAGCTTTAGGTGTTTTCATGGCTAAATCACTCAACAAATACGGCATTCTTTATTGCCACATGGTGGAGTCAAGAACTGAAGTTACAGAAGAGAAAAGTGAATGTTTGGTTCCTATGAGACAAGCCTTTAATGGTACTTTTATTGCAGCCGGTGGGTACGAAAGGAGAAATGGTAACGATGCTATAGCCCAGGAACGTGCGGATCTTATAGGTTACGGTCGTTTGTTCTTGGCTAATCCTGATTTGCCCAGAAGATTTGAACTTGATGCTCGGCTTAACAAGTACAAAAGAGAAACATTCTATACGAGCGATCCAGCTGTCGGCTACAGCGATTATCCTTTTCTTGAAATGCCCGATTAATGCGGGAAAAAGCCTGTCGGAATGGGAACATATTTATAGGTCTGTAAAGCCGTTAGTAGGAGTTTCCGTCAAGATATGTTACATGCGTAAAATGGGGTTTAGATGAATGAGAAATTGACTATCAACTAGGTTACTGAAATCGAAACTTCACTTCTATCATCATTGTCGTATGCTATTTATCATATCTATTGTTGTTGATTCTGCACCTAATTTTTTTTTTAATTGTATTTTCATCATTTATGAAAGAAAAACAAGATTTTATTTGAAGATACGTTGTAGATTTTTTTAAATGAAATTATTCATTTATTTGAAGAAATGTTAAATAAGTGTTACATAAAAATTGTTTTCACACTTTTCAATATTGTCATATTATAACATCTTATTCTGAACTGAAGTATAGTAAAAAAAAATTGTTAACATATCGACATATCATATTATAACACTTTTTACATCATACTCATAATTGTTTGTCCTAAAATTTCAAGTTAGGATATATTTTATGACAGTATTAAATTGTGATGTGTTGAAACCAAATTTTCTTATTCCATTTTTAAAGTACCGGATTTGATGGGGTCCAAATCCATGGAGCTCATGGTTATCTTATTGACCAGTTTCTGAAAGATCGAACCGACGAGTAGGGGGATCATTAAAGAACCGTTGCAGATTCGCCCTTGAAGTAGTCGAAACCGTGGCAAATGAGATCGGAGCCGATAGAGTCGGCATCAGGCTCTCGACATTTGTGAATTACATGGATTCGGGATATTCAAATCCAAAAGCTCTAGGTCTTTACATGGCTAAATCGCTAAACAAATACATGTCTTTATTTTGACGTGGTTGAGTCAAGTATGGAAGTTATCAAAGAGCGAAGCGAATGCTTAGTTAGTTTGGAACCCATGAGACTGGCTTTTAATGGTACTTTTATTGTGGCTGGTATGTACGAGACGGAAGATGGTAACGACGCTATAGCTAAGGAACGTGTTGATCCTGTGCCATATGGTCTTTTGTTTTTGGCTAACCCCGATTTGCCTAAAAGATTCGATCTCAACGCTCCGCTTAACAAGCATAAAAAAGACACATTTTACACGAGTGATCTAGTCGTTGCCTATACTGATTATTCTTGAAACGATCGTTTGGGTTACGATATGTTAAAAAGAACTGCAAAAACTTCGTTTTATTATAATTAACCAATCTAGAAAAAGGGTGAGAAGTGCTTTCGACCTTATTAAATTAAGTATTTATATAGAGTAAATTTTGTATGAATATAGCCGTTCAGGAATTTAACAACCTTGATTCATTGGTGTGGTGGAAAGAAAAACAACCATAAGTTACGATTTTTGTGGCCATATATTGTTAGAAGTTTTACTAATTGCTCAAGCTACCAACTTAGCTTTAGAATCTGCTTTTTCATTTAGTGGTAAAATACTTTTGGAACAAAAAATGTGACTTACATCAAAATCGCTTGAGGTTTGCATTTACCTCGAGAGTTAGTTGGATGGCTAAGATTATAGATGAGCAAACCACTCACAAACGGACCCATGGCGTTTTTGTGGTGGCACGTGCCACCATTCTTTCTTCCGTCGCATTGTAAAAAGTTATAGGGTCGTGTAAAGTGTAACCGTATCAATTCGTTGTGTGTCACCGTGTATATTTTAAAACTACAATGGAGATACAAGTTTTTTTTATAGAGTTGGTTTGTAAGATTTTTCTTCTACGCCGGACCCGAGTTTGAATCTTGTTGGGGTCATTTTCATAGTTTTTTGCTTTTGATTTTATATTATATTTCTGGAAAAAATTTGCAGTAAAAGACTTGAAAACAAAACTTTATATATGAAAAACAATGAACTAACCAACAAAGCAATGATGATTTTGTAAAAAAACATTCATGTATTTGTTTCTTATAGTTAAATGATACCATTATTTGAAAAAAAAATTTGAATTTGTCCTTAGTTAACCGGTTGGTCCTCAAACTTGAACTGGTGCCTCCTTAACCGGCCCTAATCTAACTCATTCTACAAGTAATAAACATGGACCGATTGTAATCGATCGGACCGTCGGTCCAATCCCTTAACCGATCGGTTAAAACCAGTTCCCCTAACCGGCTTAGTTTTTGTTTTTGTTTTTTATGTTGCATTATTACTATATTTTAATACCTCTTTAGAATTATTTTATTAACACATGAGTTTAGGAGTGTTCATCGGTTGAAATCCAATGGATTTAGATGGATCCGATTCGATCAAATCATCAATTGCATGTTGGATTTTGTCATCCAAACCGATTCGGTTAACATTGACATTCGATCTGATCCAAATCTAATGAATGATTGGATCGGATCGGTTTCATCCATTGGATGTTACTATTGGTTATCCATTAGATCAGATTGATTTGCCCAGTCTTTTGATCCAACACTCAACAAATTAATCCACCATTTCAACTAATTCTTCATATATTTTCTTAAGTTATTAAAAGACAATGTATATAAATATCAACTAAAAAAAAATCAGAAAATGTTAATAATTTTATATAGTTATTAAATGGATAATAATTGGATAGTTATTGGATGGTCATTAGATTAGATCGGTTCGGTTTTATTGGATGTTAGATTGTAGTCCGAAAATTTTGAAAGTTTGGATATGATTCAATTCGATCCGATTACAATTGAATATTTGATTAGATCAATAGGTTTCAATTAAATCAATCGATTCAAATTAGATCGGATAACTTTCTGCACACCACCGTCAGATAAATTGGTATGTGAAGCAACCAAATCTTGGATCCAACCCCTCACCAACCATCCCATTAATTATTGGTCGGCGTGCCAAGTGCTGGACTCCCACCCTCCCCACACCATACATTTAATATAACTAGAAGAGTACTCGCGCAATGCAGCGAGATACATCGTGTTTTTAATATTTCATTTTATTCTTTATCTCAGTCGATGTTATAATATGACTTTATGTGATTTTGAGAAAACGATGATGTTTTTATTT